TAAAACATCGAAATGGATTCGTGTATCGGAGTCTGGTAGGGGTAAGCATTCGAAACGTAACGAAGGGTTGGATGTAATTTCGGTGAAATCTTGATCCGACTTTTGTTCAGTGGCCAGAATTTGCAAATCGAGAGAGGGTGCCCCTATTTGGTTCCACTCCATGCGAGACATTGCATCAGCAACCACGTTGCTCGCGCCATCAATATGGCGAATATCATTTGTGAATTGCAAGACGAAATCCAAATGACGAGTTTCCCTGGGGGAGTGGTAATCTGAGTTGGCCTGGAAGGCATAAATTTGGGGTCTTGTGGTCGGTAAATATTGTAAACTGACGGCCTTCCAATATATATGACGAAAGTGTTCGACCACCAAGTAGATGGCAAGTAATTCTCTACCGAATGTGCTATAACGGGTCTCAGTAGCGGTGAGCTTCTTGGAGAAGAAGGAGAGTGGTTGGGTTTCGCCTCTAACTACCTGTTGCAGAACCGCTCCGACGGCCACTTGAGATGCATCTGTCTTTAACACTATTCGTGTCTAGCTGGAAGTGTCGAGGTGGTTTAGGGTAGTCGCCCTGGAAAGCAGTTGTTTCACTTCCGTGGACGCGGACTCAGCCTCTGATGTCATTCGGAAGTGTTTTGGGCTGCCTTTCAGCAGATCCGTGAGAGGTTGGAGTACTTGAGCGCAGTTGGGGATGAATTTTCCTAATAGTTCACAATCCCCAAGAAACGACGGAGACTCTTTACTGATTGGGGCGTTAAACTTTACAGAGCCGTGATAGGACATAATAGGACAAACCACCTGGGCTAAATCTGTCAAAGAAAAGTATCAAAGTAAATCAAATTCTGTTCAGGTATATACTTAATTCTGTTGACATACGTGATGAACAACTTCAAGGCACCCAAAGGAAATATTTCAGCTTATAATTACTCCATTAATAGGTCATACAAAGTCAAGTCAAGCGGTATATTTAGAAAATTGGTTCAGAGGAAAAAGCCGCCCCTGTTAAGTGAGAACTAGACAGCCGCGTTCACTCTTGTAGCGGATTTCTACGCTAGTAAAGCCTGGCTTAAGTCTCAGAAACCTTTGTGATAGATCCTCCTAATTACTAAGTCTTCAGAAGAAAGAGACGTATCACTGAAAAGTTTATTCACTAGAAAAGGATACCGAATTGTGCTTTTGACAAAACGATAAATTATCAGATAAATCTGGCATAATTCGAGTAAACATTAATAGCGAAATATCTCTGAGTAGTGTTCTGTAGCAGGATTTCTATTGGTCATTGGCTGTGCTTCTCTGCAACCAATCCGTGTGCGAGGTTGCACGGCAGCACCTTAAGTCTAGTGGGCGCGCCCGTGATGAAGTGTCCCACACTCTCAGTTAAATATTTGGTAGCACTTCTAAACAAGACAAGAGGTCTTATCATAAAAATTTTCAGTTACACTTTTAAAGTGTGAATTATAAACGATTGGACACGTTAAATAAAAAAATTAAATTAAGAAACAGGATTCGATTGAACGACATTTTACTAAAAATTTAATTTTATTTATACTATTATGAAAGCAAAATTGATAAAAGTAAATTCATAATGCTTTTCATGCTGATTAAAAAAGGAAGTTTTCTTTAATTAATTTTTAAGTTACCAATATCGAATGAATTTAAATAACTGATTTGTTGTCCAATTGATTTTATGCTTTCCTTTTTCCCAAGTGTAAGCACTTCTTCGTATACTCTTCAGTACTTACATGCTACATATTCCTTCAAAGTACTATAAAATCTCATTCGCCCCTTTGAATTTCAATTTCTATTCTAGCTTTTCTACTTCTGTTTTTATTCTTTATTCTATTCTCAATAACAAATACTGTTTGAAGAACATAAACCTCCACGCCTGAAAGGTTACTAAATATCGATATTCCATTTCCCCCTAATTCAAACATCCTGGCATTACTCAGAGCAATTTTCTTCTCCAAAATAATCTAAATATTACCAAACACTTCGTCCAAGTTTTTTAAAGTCCGCTTGCTTGTTTGGTGATCATTGAAAATCTCTTGCTTGTAATACCTTGAAAGTATGAGGTTAAAAATACTCCTCTTTTCCACAGCTATACTTTAAACTTTTAAAATTTGAATTTACAAGTTTCAATTAGGAAGGATATTAATATTGCATATCTAAGATATCTATGTATATAGGTTTATTTATTAATCTACTTGTACAGATACCATTAAGAACAGGGAAATTTGTAATGATTTGTCAATTTAGAACTTGGTAGAAAATTGCTGTTCGGGTCATCAGTAATGTTGCAAATTCTGATGTTTACAATGAATCCAGTTCAACCGAACATGCATTTCAGAAAAGGTAGTTATTTCGAATATATGTAGCGTAGGTCCTTTTGGTAAAAAGTTCGTATAGTTTCTGCTATCAGATTAGGTCTCTCATTCCCATCTAAGACGAAATAATAAATACTGAATTTTTAAAATTGCAATAACATCTTAGATCAAATCGAATTTAGTTTAGAATGTATTGATTTTCAAAGTTGCAATGTGGAGAATAAGATTTTACAAACCACCAGAAAATAAGGTTAGGCCAAATATATTTCCATTCTTTTGATGATAATTATGTTTGAAGACGTTTGATCTTCTAGAGACTAAACTAAACCCTTTTCTAAAGAAGCAGCTTAATTACATCTGTAAAGTTTGATTAAATTTATTTCGATTATAAGTTTAAACGTCAAAGTAATGTTAGTTTTTTAGTATATAAGAATTCTCTCGTTGAGTTTATTTTGGTTTGAGATGAATTGTCAGTTCAAAGGTATTAATATCAATGCAACATTAAAATAGTCTTTAACCATTGCGATTTGTTTGCCCTTTTCGATCATTTACCGCAACTCAAATTTCAGGAAAAATCTATCAGACTAAATTAATCATTTATTATCTATATTATACCATCATATTGGCTCATTAAAAATCGGAACGATTGCTCACACTTTCGATACTTGCCATATTCCACATTTATACAAATTATTCAAGTGGAAATCGTTTAATTATTAGAGTCAGATTCACTTCCCTCGTATAGTTTAATTGATCGCAAATGAGACTTCTTCCCTTCTTTTTTATAATCATTGCGTGAATTTCAAACAATTTATCTAGATAATAAAAGCCTTTTAGTAGTTGGTTTAGGCAGTTTTGCGATATTTGTAAATTAATACTTAAATGCTACGTCATATCATCCAAAATATATTGACGTTGAATCTTAATAAACATATTTGGTAATTTTATTCTTTGACTTTAAGTAACAAATTAATGCAAAAAGAAAGTCCCATTAAAACCCCTAGATGCTCATATTCTTATTTGGGTTATTATGCTAAAGAGCTAAAAGGTGTTTTGATCCCAAATACGTTGACTATATTCTTGGATGCATAGAGGTATTACCTCTTATCAATTGAAGGCGATGTTGAGATGATTTAGAATGGCTCCGTTAGTAGTTTTAGTTACAATATATGTACTGGTTGAAAATAGTCTTTCTGAAGTCTAATACAGGCACCCTGGCACAGGATCCGGAACCGGATTCAAATTATGAATACACGCATATTCCCAATGGTCAAGAAACATTTGTGTACTCAGGGCTGATAATGACCCGCTTCTCACCTTTTAAACGCCGTTGACTCTTGACAAATGGGCAGGACGGAAAACAGGTCATGCTCACTTAAAACTAAAATACATTCCATACAATTTTGGCTGGAACACCAAGGGCCAACCATCCTCGAATTGCAAGACCTGTCACACCCAGAAACGGAAACCAAGAGCACCAGCAACTTGCGACTTCTGAATCAGATTTCGCAATGGACCGGTTAGCTAAACACAATCTAAACCTTAATGAGAGTACAAAACACGTGCTTGAAATAGAAAAAGGCACAAGAATATACTCCGCCATAATTTTCTCCCAAAACGTTGACACACAAATCAATGATATTACACATGCTTACAGTACACGGCTCGTAATGACGTCGGAAGGGTATAAAACACCCAAAGGGAGTACAGTTAATATAGTTACAGAAAGAAGGCGGAAAGAGAATTGATACGATGAAAGGGCCAGTCATCTAGAATAATAAATGCTTAAACAGTAATGATTTAAAAGGAATGGGAAGAGAAGGATTTTACGACATATTGCTTGTCTGATTGTTCTCAGGAGTATGCCAAGTCAAGCGTTCTTCGTAAAACTTAATAACCGATTGGGGACATCTGACGTTGGCCTCCTTCGCTGGCACTAAATCCGCGACATCCAGACCTTGCCTAAAAGATAATAGGAATGAAGAATTCGTTCTTTCCAGTGCATCAACAACCAGATTGAGGTTCAGAGGCTTACCATTTGATGAGGAACATAAGTTCACCTGCACTTTCTGTAGCGCCAATAATGCGCTCGACATTTAAATTACGCTCGAAGCCACGAGCCTTTTGCGTTGAACCGGGAATTTCTGATAGTGCTTGGCGCTAGAAATAGGAGAATATTTTTCAAGCGAGGAACAGGAAAGTAAAAAAATTGACCCAACAAATTACTTTAGGAGGTGTACTATCTTCTTCAAGGGGGATTTCAGCAGCTTCAGATTCTTTCAAATTCTCATCAGAGGGTTTACCATCTTCGGACTCTGGTTCTGTGGTACCCGTCCTTCGTTTTCTTGTCCTAGTACTTGAGGTGCTTTCAGCGGTATCCTTAACCGGATTTTCTGGTTCCGCACCTGTGGTAGTGGTGGTTGTTGAAGAATTCGGTTCATTTTTGGTAGTCTCATTTAATTTGACGCTACCTGCATCACTCGATGCAACACTAGAAGCTCTACCAGAACGAATTTTCGTCATTCCCTTTTTAGCATTCTCTTCAAATTGCTTGATGAGTTCGGGACAATCGAGATTTGCTTCGGGTTCCCAACTGTTCTCTGAATCAGGATAACCTTTCCATTTCAGGAAATATTCCTTTACACCACTGCGAATTCTTACACGAAGAACCTTTTCCACAATATACTCATCGGGATTAGTTTCTGAGTCCGACATTGCTACAAAAAAACTAAATAAAGATAAAAAATTATATAATCATGAAGACTACAAATGACTTTAAGATCAAAGAACGCTTTGCAACAAATATGACTATATGCAAATAATTGACAATGAAATATCAAGACATAAATCAGAGTCTGATAAAACACAATTAGGACAAAGCGAGACGCACCAATCCCTCGACAAAAAACAACTTTGCCGTCACTTCAAGCGGTTATTTTTGAAAAACCTGTGAAATTGATGAAACAAAACAAACAATCTCTTGGACTTAGAATCTTAATAATTTTATTAATTTTGGGCTTTTATTAAATTAATTAAATTTATAAGCGATATAGGCACACAATTATTATTATTAGAAGCTTTAGATAAAGTACTGTAAATGAAATTTACTGCAAAATTTGCGGTATCTTTCGCTTTTCAATGGTTACTCTATGCAAATAATTACTTAAATGTGATTTATCGCGAAGCTTTCAGTAGATAGTAACAATATCATCACGTTGCATTTGCTACATTTTAATGCAAATTAAATTCGGCTTTTAAACAGATATCGTCCTTTAAGATCTTCGGAATAAAATCGTTGTTATCATGCTAATTGCACGCATACAGTTTTCGTTACAAATATTATATCAAAGTACTTATAATTTGCAGTTTAAATTTGCGTTTCCCTTTTAGGATATTCGGCTGATATCCCACTTACCCACCTGTTGATAATTTTTGTAATACATCACCCTGAAACAATAAGTCAGTGAAAAAACAATTTTATCGATATATAAGAGCAACATTACATATTAAAATTGACGTGATTAAACTATGAGACTCGCAGCATGAAATAGTTTGAAATCACATAATGAAATGTCTGACCAAATAATAAATACATGATTTCCACTGTTATAATTTTTTATAACCAGTTCAAACTTGAATAAACTTTGTTTTTAAATCCAAGTTATTCCTGTATTCAGTCTACTTTAGCGAAATGAAATAATTCTACTACTATTACGATTTTTTTGAAAGCACTGAGAAAATTTTTCGTTCATTTAATTTTTCACTGTTATCATATGCTTCATTCATACATGTTTTGTACGATTGAAAACAATAAAAATATCAGTTTATTATTAACTAGTTTACTGAAAATGCGTTATGCTTCTATGAAATTTTTATAATAAAAATCTAGGTCGCTATTATTCAAAAGGCTTATCTTTTACTCACAGGAGATTTATTGAAGTGATATTAACGTTTGTAATGGATTGCTACACTAATAAGCCTTTACTTATACTCAGCAATCTCTATATCAGGTTCTCTCGTTTCGAAATGGTTTCGTGAATTAGCTAAGCTACCTCAAATCTATATGATGTGAAATTCGTTTTATTCATGTGATGTTATATTAGGGATCCATATAGGTCTTTACCTGTCCTTAGTGTTGTGACTGTCAGGCCGTCCGTTAAGGCTATATTTTGAGTTGTGTTTTTGTTCCATGTTAACATAAAGCTTAGTCATTATATACATTTTCCGATATGATAACCATGTAATAACTTTGCTAATGGGTTTCAGAGAGGTCTCTGAAATCGCCACCTCGTTTGCTCTGAGACACAATGCACTTCTCTGCTTTTGCCATGTTAAAATTGTGTTCCACACCCGTTATATCACAGTTAAAGGTATGTCTTTACCTGGTAATCTGAAACGGTGTTTCATTTTTTCCAAATAATTCGATAATTTTATACAAATTGTCAAATAGCTTTTGCGACTCGATATGAATTAAAGTATATATATATATATATATAGTTGGAGTTTATCAGTAAAATGAAGTGAAAGAGAAGTTAAACGCTTTTTCCAGTATCCTTTGAGATCTGATATGAAAATGTGCAGTCCTGGTGGAAAGCAATCGACTATAGCTTATTATCGGTCTTTAAAGTCTCTATCAAATGCTCCAAAGTAATATAGTAAATAGATATAGCTCTTTCAATGGCAAAAAATGAGTATAACTTAAAATCAAATAGGAGAAAAACAAGGATAGTGGACAGGTTAAAGAGGGGTTGATCTTAAAGCCTCCATTACTATTTTACAAGTTTAATGAACTCATTAATTCAATGCAATTTAACGACAATGCCTAATGTGAGGACATGCGTACGCTAATTTCCCTATTATAGGAATTCAGGTCAGGTAGGAGTGGTGAATAAACCACGAGGACCAGAGTATAAAAGCAACTTTGAAAAACTCCTATCTGGTAAGAGTAGTTTTCATTAATCGACTCCGTCTTGTTCCCTCGCTCATCTAGACCAACTCCAAGTCCGAATGTGAACCAGAAATAGAGTGAACCAGGAAGACAAGTGTTGCCAAAAATATTAAATTTACTCTTTCCTAAAATAGACTACCTGACACCCTTCAGCATCTACGAATTTCCAACCTTTAAAATTATTCAAATCTATAAATCTAAGTACATCTCCTTTTGATATACTTCAAGACTTAAGAAATACAACAGCATCTATCTTCAAAGGCCAATTTAAAAAAACGGTCAACGTAATTTTCACCATACCCAGGGCGTGCTTGATTAAACTGCTTTGCGGGCAAGTGACAGGAAAGCAGAAATCTAATTAATCGTACAGACGGCCGCCCGTAATTTTCGGGCAGGCCAAGTGCAAAGAATACGCTCTCGAAATGTCTTGATTACCATTCCGAGCCGAACATCTCTATCCGGCTTGCGTAAGTAACGCAGAGCCCTTTTGGAAGTGCCAGTTCTCTTCAACTTTTACCTATAAAGGTACTTCCTTGGACTCTTATTTTTTTCTAAATACATATCATAAAGTGCACAACTTTTCAAAAGAAAAATTTCAAGATTTTTAAATATTATAACTTGTTTCCATCAAAAGTTAGCAAGTTAATTATATGTTGTTAGTATTATGTACCAAGTTAATAAAAGTTGTAATTTTATTTAAGTAGTATATATATATGCTTTATTTCAAGAAATTGGGGGGTTTCGGCTGACCACGTTGGGACTTGTTTGGTTCTGGAATTGACAAAATGTAATATCTATATTGATTTCAAATACATCTATTTAGTAATCTTTGGAAGAAGATTGAATAAATGAAATTCTTTTTGGCACTCTTGGTGACCGTCAGTAGACAGCCTAAGTGGTCTTAACGATTAATTCTACTATTTGCATAATTACCTATTGTCACGCCTAATCACCTACTTAGGGCTAGCACCTACTGCATAAGAATGCAAAATGAGTGCCATTTCTAAACGTATTTAAGCTCCAAATCGCGTTTATTTTGCTAAATATACTACACATATTTAGTAATCATGCTTATTTATCGACGCAAATGTAAGTAGAGGATGAGAAATGGTAGCAATTTAATGTCAAGCGCCTAATTCAAATTAAATAGCTGTTGAGCAGCATGAGATAGAAACATTGTTGACCCATTTGTAACCCATTACACTCCTGTCACTCTCTTGGCAAGGAAACAAACGTCACTTCAATTAATTCACCAATCTCGAGTGTGCCCGACCATTTGGTTATATCGAATGGTCTTGGAGGTGGAACCCACCTACGCTGACCTAGGTGATGGGCTTTTGGAAAAAATATCTCTTAGTTGGGAGGGCGGGGGTAAGCGACACATTAAAGTGTCCTCCTTCGGGAGACAAATACGCGACTAACCTTATACAATCGCCATCTCCCCCCCCCCACTCCACCCTCATCAAAATACCCTTCACTTGTCGGGTGACACATGCACTTCTCCACCTGGGTCATCGCCATTCGGCTAATTTGCAAGAGTTCCACTTGTTTAAATAGGCTGGAAAACCAATAGGCATCGATTGTAGACAAACTCGCGCCGGTTTGATTATCATCTTCGTTACATAATCGCGAAAAAATGTGGAAGAACCAAAGCACGGAATGGTAAACACTTCCCTTAAACCCCTGATTAGTCCACAAAGCAGATAAGTTAGCTGCGCAAATGCGCTTTACTAAAATGAAGAAAGGTACTTAAGCTTCGTGAACTTACGTCAATTTCGGCGTCACTTTACCCACATCTTCCAATACTTATTTATTTAAAATGGCCGACTTTATGATAGTTATCATTGGCCTTTGAATTGACTTCTGGCTTCACAAAGGGGGGAACAAAGTCCCAAAAAGTGGAGAGGGGGGAGGTGAAGAGTGATTCACAGATGCAAGGGAGGCAAACACAAAGGTAATAAAGGCAAGGTGAGTTCAATGGGAGTGGTAGAATATGACACACAGTCGGGTCATGGCAGTTTGAAGTGAGAAGTCAACTGCCGGTTTGTAGACTTTTATGCCGTATGAGCATGCGTTGTCCAGGGTGCACCAAGTGGTGATAAGTCTATCGCGACCAACATAGGAAATACATCCCTTGAACTAACGATTAGTCCACAAATCGAATAACTTGGCTGGGCAAATTCACTTTATTAGAATGATAATTCATACTTAAACTGCGTGAAAGAACATCATTTCATCCACGTCTTCCAAGAAAATTTGTTAGCAAGTTCGTGGGAATAGTACCTGTCTCTATGAATGAAATAGCATTGCGGAGTATCACCTAAATCACTGGGTGGGGTATTGATGTGGTAAAGGTAAACAGTAAATTGCCTTGTTCGAAACTCAAACAAACGCGACTTGAATAAATCATCCCGTGGTGAAGAATGAACCAAATCTAGGATTGGGGTTGTTGTAAAATACTGTCTTCATTCGGATGGAAATACAGTGCTATGTGTCAGATTTGCACGACGTAAAGGCGAATAGCATTGGTCCTGAAAGCTGACAATACAAAGGCGTTACTTAGATCTACTAAAACGCAACAAAATCAATTCGTGATCTCTTGAAGTAAATGGCACATTAAAATGGGCGGTGCAAAACGACGCCTTTAGAAAGAAAACGTAAAACTATAAATCCGGATAAAAATTGTTTTACCCTACCCAAAATTGAATAGGAAGTTTTTATTTTACTCAAATGGCAGGCGTCTTGGTGGTTATCATTAGCCCTTTAG